TTTTTTTTTCTGGAAATGTCAAAATCTGACATGATTGACGGCTGGGTTCCACAATACATATTAACCACATTCGCATTTGAACACTAGTGCGATTCTGATTTGAGATCCAACGCCGGAGCGAATTCCATAGCGGGTATTTTCATCAACGAAAACATTCATTTTTGTTTTTTTTTCTGATGAAAGATAGAGTAATGATGGAAGATTCGATGGAGAATCTTCGAAAGTTTCGAAGGTAAAATAGGGAAAGCACCTGTCTAAGTATACTGAAACTACACTGAAGATGGAAATTCCAAGAGACAGTTAGAAGACCAGTTGACCCTTCCCTATGGCTTTGGATGTGAGAGTGCATGGCTTATTTGGAACCTCATTGTATTAGTTTTTTTCCTCCAGCCCCCGAGGTCGTTGGCTCGTGGTTTTGTATTCACTTTATGATGGTCGTCCTGATGTTCTTGGTGAATCCTTCATCAGCCTTCTGGATCCGCAAGGTAATTTCTTCATTTAGGTTTTTTTTCTGATTAAAATGCCGAATACAGATGATCGAATAGATTTTGCTACCTTCACAGTCATTTTTGGGCATGATTGCAATAAAATGATGAAGTGTCTTTTATCGGGAAGGTTCCACATTTTTATACGGCATTCAGGCGAGAGCATCAAACCTAACGGAACGTACTGTGTTGACTTGAAGAGCTGGAAGATCGATCGCCGGACTGTTGTCGTGTCTTATGTGAGTTTTCCTTTTATGTTCAAATATCTAGGCGATCTAGTCGATAGTGAAAAACTTTTGTATAGTAGTGATGCAGAGTAGTGACTTGGTAGCGGAATACAAAAATGAGAGATCCGCAATAAGTGGGTGTTCGGGTGAGATTTCAATCGCTGCTGAGCAACGGGTGTAGGGTTAACTGGTAGCGTGTGTTAGAGTTTCGTTAATGGCTAACGTGCTCTATTTGGATTGTTATAAGCCTTCACAAGACCGCTAAAACCCGTCCTTTTTCTGGGAGCTTTGAGTAGCCGCGAACGGGAATCCTATTTTTGAACGTTTATTGCGCCCTATCTAGCTCGATTTTCGACCCGACAACGCCCGGGTTTCCCTCAAAAACGGTACGAAGCTGACAGTGTGTTTTGACATTGCACTGTTCTGCGTTCCACATAGTGGGAAAAATCAACTGCAAGGACGATAAATATGGATGAAATCGAACTATTTTAGAAGGAACTTCTTGGGGGGAAATATTAGTTTGCTCCGCAGGCTTTTTATCATGTGGAGGGCGCGGGTGGAAACATATGTAGATCTACAACGTATACAACCAAAAAAACCATGCCACGGCTGTGAAATGATTTACCTTTCCACTAGATGTCGTCTCAGTGTCGTGTGTCATTTTACACTGGTACCGCTTCCATCGTCATACATCAGTCAAATGGCAACTGCGCAGAAACTTTTAATGTTAAAAAGAGATCGATGTGCTTGTCACCGCAAGTGTGTCTTCAGCAGAAAAAGAGAGAAGAAGCAGAGAAAACCCAAAACCCATGGAATCGGGCCATCAGCTATTGTAAACAACGTGCATTTGGCAGGCAATCCTCATTTCCTACAAAGACGCGACTGCAAAGACTTGATGCAAGGGCACGTGTGAAGAGAAAAAAGTGCTTGAGCAACAGGTGCAAGCTTGGACCAACCGTCTGGCAGAGTTCGGACTCCGAATAAACATTGAAAAGATCGATTGCTTGATCAGTGAGCCAAATGGGAAGGTACTACTGACGACGACTCTGAGCTCACACGTGTGTACATCCACTTTCGAGTAGCGTGGCGCGGCAATCGCTCTGACAGCAGTTTGGCCTCTGAAGCTAATTTGATTGAGTTGCTGAAGTTGACTGTAAGTGCGCGCGATGACTGGCGCTCTCTGTGACTAAATATGTATACCAGCTCGTCTCGAGACAAACCTATAGAGGACAGTAATACGACTCAATCACAGAATGCTAGCGTGAAGCACGTTACGTTGAGACAGTTTCGGGATAAAGGGAATGAAAAAGCTACGCTGGAGCTTGTGGTCATACATTCGTACCATACTCTTAACGATATTGCTGATGGAGTCGATCGAGTTTTTCTCTGATGGTTGATGTAATTCTGGTTGAAAAGTTGGTGAGATCGGCCTAAGTCCTGGCATGATCCGGAAATGACTCACGGGACGTCTGAAACATCGTTTTTTAACACTGCATGAGGACTAGTAATTAGATGTCTCCATCCCAGTGAACGTTTGATCGGTAGAAGTGGCGTGAACGAAGTGAAAAGCGTGAACGAATTGAAAAGCGTACCTTGCCTTCACTAGGGATGATAGAAAATTTTACCTTTAGAAGCATTTGAAAAGAATTGTGCAGGAGCACACCTGAGCTTTGAATTTGAGATGATGGGATCTTTAAGCTTTAGATAGCCCGCATGATTGCTGCTCCGTTCATCATGAACACCCTTTCGTTGAACTCCTCGGACAGCGGTAAGCAAGTCTTAGAGATTGGACTTGGCGGTGGGACTTTCGATATGGGACTACACGAACTGAAACCTGATGTGAGTTTTATACGATTTCGGATTTTGCCATATTTTTTCAACCCAAAAAAACGTTTTCATAGGTGAACATCACTGCAGTTGATATCGATGAAGTAGCCAAGAAGGTTGCTTTCAAATATTTCGGTGTTGAGGATTCAAAGAATCATCACTCTGTTATTGAAGACGGAGTAAAATTTGTTGAAGACGCAAAGTCAAAAGGTTTGAAGTTTGTCTTATATTCGGCATAATCATTAAAATTTGTTTGCTCTTGGAATAAGAATTAAAAGTTACCTGGAATTGATAAATCTCGACAAAAACAGCTGTTGGGAACTTTCAGCCGACGTGTTAGGCCAATTCGATACCGTTAACCTAGAGAAGCAATTTTCTATTGAGTGTGAGTTCAATTACTCCCACGGGTAGCAGGGATGGAGCATCACAATTTCAATCCCATCAAAGAAGTCGTCATGCTAGTCTACAGTTGCATGGACTGCGCTAGAACAATGTCACTGTATGCATCAGATGGTTCCGTCGAGACTTCCTCGAGGCATAGATCTTGGACTAGTCATGGTTTCAATAAACTTTCATCTATAATTAGTCTCTTCAACTCCTTCCTATAATGGCACCGTTCTCATATCCACTGTTTTCCCTTTCCTCTCACTTGGATGCAGTGGAACCGTTTAATCCACTTGGGAGCAAAACCGAGCAGTTGATGTCACAGCACAAAAAATCCACTAATGGGATGTTTGCTTGTCAGGTAGAAAATTCGATGTGGTAGCGATCGACGCCTGCGATGACTACTACTGGTTACCGTGTCCGGGTGAATCGCTTCGAAGTGAGAAGTTTCTAAGAACACTTAAGGAAGTAATGACGGACAAAGGTAAATTTGTATTGAATTTTCGCTAGTGAAGCCCAATACTGGGCATGTTACAGGCACACTTACGGTCAACTTTCTCTCCAGGCCTGGTGTGAACCATTCCAAGTGGCACGAGGTACGTTCAGTGATCATCTTCACTTCCTTGATGCTCATTTGCAAGTATAATAGTAGTATAGGTATAAGAGTGCAAGTATAAAAATTGAACTCTAGGCAATAAAAGCAGCGAAAATTCACTGCCTGAGAACATACCACGTCTGCTTTTATTTCACTAAATTTCAGTAGCAACTTATTCTCTGATATGAACTGATTAAGATTGGTTTTCAGGGTCTCAGAAATTACCAGAAGGTCTTCCCAACCTGTTTCGAATTCAAAGGTCTGAGTGTAAGTTTTTTCTTCATGGTATCTTATCTCACGTACTGTTTCAATCTTGGAGGATTGTCGGGTTATCATGAGTTTGCGCCAGCAACCCTTGTCGTTTTCTAAACTGTAAATATCTGGGTGCTAGAAATTTTGGGGAAATCTTACCCAACTGTAACTTTCGTGTTTCGCAAGAATACACCAAAACCGAACAATAGAACAGATGGAGGTAATTGGGCTCCGCTGATGGATCATTACCATAGCTCATCGGTATTTCACGTTATCGTTGGAAGTAAGTTATCGCCGACCGTTCCGCGGGCAATCGAACAGACTGCGTACGCCTTCTGTTCACTACTACCAACCTTCACTACTACCAACCCGTCGCTCTGGCTCGAAATAAGATATGAACTTCGATGGACGATGGCCAGCGGTGCACCATTTCTTGCCTTCTGCTATAGGATCGCCTTTCTTACAAAGAGATTCGCATTGAGGGAGGTAATCGAAGCGAAAGCCACTCTATAAGTGGCAAAGCTTGCCAACCGTAAGCGAATGACAACATAAACGCTCTTCGTTATTGCTCAAGATGAAATAATGATATCATATGAAAGAATATGCAGAAATTCCTCTAAGGTAGTGCTTTGTTCGCAAGTGTGTTTCTCCAGCACACCCGAGCGACGGTGTTTCGAAGCCGCAATGAATATGCACTGAATACGGAGGATTTCTTTATTTATGAAGACCATTTCATTCCACGCGAACCCGACTAGAAAGGAGCTGGAGAGGCTTGATGTCATTTGATCACCCCACCATCCATGTTCACCTGACCTTGGCCCCTGTGACTATCTTCTTCCAGAAGCCTACAGGCACCATAGTGAAAGTTCAATATGTGCCACGAACAGAGATGGGCAGTAGATGATACTAGGGCGCGAGTGATGTAGTAGATGATTGGATCGCCTCGTGCCCCCTTCTTTCTGGTTCAATGCCATCCATGTTCTGCCCTATCGACGAAGCGACTTTTTGCGAGTAAATCCCTTTCTGTAGTCAATTGCCTGTTTAATTACTTATTTTATTTTTTCCTTTCCTTTAAACGTGCTCTGATATAAACCGTGCCCTCGTCCACTGCAATCCCACTGAGCTACGTAGACTCTCTCAAATCAATTTATACTTAACAGAAAAAAGCTATGCCAGTTCGCGGAATTAGCAGTTCTTATATGCGGTTAATCCTTGGGAGAAATGCACGATAGTTTTTGTAAATACTAGATCTTACGTACAGTGTGTCTTTTCAAAAATCTACGGTAATTTTTGGCTACGGCAGGTCTTACTGAGAACTGTTATTGCTGTTATGTGCTGTAATTTTTTTTTGAGAAAGATAATTTTTAAGAACAACTTCGTGCTGATATGTGTACCATACAAGGTGGAAGAGACACTTCAATCCAGACAACTATACAAGGAACGCCTGGATGAAGTAATGTCGGCTCTCAATCTCACAGCCACACTTCAAGGATACGCCGTTCTCAATTTCCTTAACAACTATTAATTCGAGAATGTAAAGGGCAGGTCAACCTGTGGGTGATCGTCAAAAAGGCGACATTCGCTTTTTTCATGTGCGAATAATTTGTCTGGCATAGCCCGAAACTAATTAATGTTGCTCTATGTGTGAACAGTTCGTTGACAGCATGAGTGATTTTGTATAAACATTACTGACTGCTTATTTTGTATTCTTCCATTTTCCTTTTACTGGTTTTAAAAACCTGTATATCTTTTCTCAAGAGCACTCTGATAACAGGAGCATTCAATGGAATTCGGAGTTGAAACTGATGACTCTGAAATTCAAAGCACCTCTCATATGACTGCAATAATTCCAACACAGGAATTTCCATTCATTTTTTTTCTTTTTATTTTCTTTTTTACTCTCATTTTTTCAATAATTGTATAACATTATATTACAGGCAGCGCTAAATGAATTTTCTCGTGAAAGGAATCCATGAACTGATGGTTGAATAGCTTTGTGCAAACACTCGGAGGATTAACAAAATTAGGTTAGAGCATACTTAAGTCTACTTCTTTGTGTTGCATCAGAAGGGGGCTTTTCTGGGAGTCATTTCATTTATACTATAAAGACATGAAAACTGAAAGGTTTCGGGACTGGCCTCGAAATTAATGCAACCATTCCACGCTACCTTTGGATGTCCCCTTATCTAGGAATTATGTACGAGTTAGAGTAAAGTTGTAAGGGCCCAACATTGGCAAAAATTGGAAGATGCACACAAGGTCAGTCAATGATGAATATTTACATCAGCAGCACGAAATTTCGAATGTTAGAGTTACATTTACTGTTTTATTCAGTCTTTTCGTGTTTCATTCTTTCTTCCTTGACTCCTTGACTTCCAATTTGCTTTGACTGAAAGTGGTCCAGCATACAGCCGAGGGATGAGAACCGAATTCTCCATGGGTCTAAAAAAATTCCCTTCCTTCAAATGTGATATCCTATCGCTTTCTCGCACTTCCTACCCGAAACACTTGATGTAGTAAATTAGTACTTCTGAGGAAAAGGTGTTAGGCTTAACTTTTCGGTAGTGCTCATTTATCTAACCTTTGGCGGAGGGAGTCAGAGGGCTTGGGCTATAGACTTATTGTTAACCTTGTTTCGTGGTCGCTTGCATTCATCTACAACACCACGGGGAAAACTTCGGAATTTGAGAACAAGGTTTAATTTAAAGTCATCTGAAGAAGTAGCCTTTCGAAACGAACCCCATGTAGTGATGAACGTCCTTGAGATGAGAATCGGCGACATCTCAGTTCAAGTCGCTTAACAAACTGCTTTCGACTCTCCATGTGCTTTATGCATCGCTCTTTCGAACGCCTGCTTTCAGTACTGTCCAAACGACCGCCGTTAGGAAAATTCATTCCTCATGGACATTAATATAATGTGCTTAGTGATGGAATCCTTCAACTTCAAAGGAGGGTGCACGCTTGCCAGTACACGATTCATAAGCCGATCTGAATTTGTCCAGCGTAATCTGCTCGCCCTTGCCTCCCGCCAGTTTGAGACAGTAGGGAAGGTTTCTGATCTGAAATGAGAGGTTGAGCCAGGCAGTGGTGTTCAGCTGCATACCATTGAAACACTACGCGATCCTACGTTCGCACCCACGCAACTCTAACCAACTTACCTTTTTCCCAGTGAGGCAGACAGAGGTATATTGATCGGATGAGCCTACGTTCCCAACATAGTAAGCAGCTACACCACCCATATCATACTGAAGAAAGCGGGTCTATTGTAGAACGTCGAATCATTCTGATAAGAGAATGATCAATTCTGAGAAACATACCAGTTCATTTTTGAGTTGTTTTTCGAGCACCTCTGCTATATCATTAGGAAGACTGTCGGGGGTCTTCACAACGATTTCAGAAGCTTTGCACCCTCCTGCCACGGAGTGCACCACTGAGACTAGAACGGTGAAAAAGACCAAAATCATCTTCGAGAGTCACTTGNAGCCAGGCAGTGGTGTTCATCTGCATACCATTGAAGGACTACGCGATCCTACGTTTGCACCCACGCAACTCTAAACAACTCACCTTTTTCCCAGTGAGGCAGACAGCGGTATATTGATCGGATGAGCCTACGTTTCCGACATAGTAAGCAGCTACACCACCCATATCATACTGAAGAAAGCGGGTCTATTGTAGAACGTCGAATAATTCTGATAAGAGAATGTTCAATTGTAAGAAACATACCAGTTCATTTTTGAGTTGTTTTTCGAGCACCTCTGCTATATCATTAGGAAGACTGTCGGGGGTCTTCACAACGATTTCAGAAGCTTTGCACCCTCCTGCCACGGAGTGCACCACTGAGGCTAGAACGGTGAAAAAGACCAACATCATCTTCGAGAGTGACTTGGTTAGAGCAGAACTGTAGAGTCAACGGTATGAGAAGTTGACAACTAGACGATGCTTCGCCTTTTAAACCCTGCTCATAATCAATGGTTTGCAAACATGCAGGACGTTTTGATATTGATCCAGCTTTCTTGCAGTTTCTTTTGCTCAGCTTTTTAGCTCCCACACAACATGCCCTTCTGGATTGACTGTAGAAGAATGACTTCGCACTCTGCAAAAGTAAGATTAGATCATTGATCAAATTGGTCATATATAGAAAAAATTTAAATTAGGTAAGAAGTGAGTGACTAGGGCGAATCAGGAATCAACAGATCAAGCACTGCAAGGTAAAGAGTAGAAGCTGAAGCTGTGTGTACGTAGGGTTACTGCGAGAATCGGAACAATCGCTATCATTTATCTTGAAACAAATGTTGTATAAGTTGGGTTATAGTGTACTCCTGCTTGTTTCCACTTCAACGGCGTTATACCATAAAGCGGAGCTAAAATTGAAAGCTTACTCTGGAGATGTTGGTACATATGCATGTCAAGTAACCCCTTCCAACCACATCTCAGAATTGACTTCACATGGTTAGTTAGTTGACATCGCAATAAACATCTCCATGCTTATTCCAACATTTTGCTCAAGGTTTTTTGGATCTGCTGAATCAGATGAGTGTCACAGCTAACAAAAATGTCCTGCAATTTTCATAAGCCATTGTGAAGTTTTAAAGTCTCCCATACTACTTATTTTACGGTATTTATAACATTTGGAACAGTTGTGTAATCTCTAATCACCATTTAGGCTTGAAAAGGACATAGGAGGAGGAAAGGATGATTTTTTTCTGTTCCCACTTTTCTTCAGTGAAAATCTCGCAGCGATCATGTTCTCCCCTCATGTCTCGTTCCTGAATTTCCTTGCAGGCTGTACACTCGGGACGATAATACGGGGTTTCTCGAGTCTTTCCTGGGTTTCTCGAGACTTTCCTGAATTTCCATATTTGTGCCTGTTGTATGAACTTTATTGACTGTCTTTCTATCTTCTCTTATTTTTCTTTTACTGAGTTCGCAGACCTTCATATCTTATTCTAAAAGTAATCTAGAGCCAAAGTTCCCTAACAAATTTTTAGTAGAGAGGTGGGACCCTCAACATCGCCCGTATGGAAGTTCCAATGTAGGGGATTCCCAGCACAAACTTTTTTGTTCTTTTTCTTTCCACTCTCACAGTTTCATGATTGTAAGTTGATTGTATGTTGTAAGTCATCCTTCCCCTCTCCCATGTCCTTTTAAAGCCTAAATGGTAATTGGAGATAACACAACTGTTCCAAATGTTATAAATACTGTGAAATAAGTGGTATGGACGACTCTAAGCCTTTACAATGGCTTATGATAATTGCAGGGCATATTTGCTAGTCTATGACACTCATCTGATTCAGCAGATCCAAAAAAACCTTGAGCAAAATGTTTGAACAAGCATGGAGATGTTTATTGCGATGTCAACTAACTAACAATGTGAAATCAATTCTGAGATGTGGCTGAAAGGGGTTACTTAACATGCATATGTACCAACACCAGTTGACCATCTGTTAACCCTCTGAATTACTCGTTGAAGATCGTCTCACCTTCACGGAATGAGGAAATGCTCGTGCAGATCATTTCTTACCTAATAGTTTGAAGGAACAGCACTTAGAAAAATTCCAGGTGATGTACTCCACAGCAACTTTCAATTTTAGCTCCGCTTTACGACATAACGCACATAACGCCGTTGAAGTGAAAAAAAGCAAGAGTACACTATGACCCAACTCATACAACATTTGTTTCAAGAGAAATGATAACGATTGTTCAGATTCTCGCAGTAACCCTACGTACATACAGCTTCAACTTGTACCCTTTACCTTACAGTGCTTGATCTGTTGATTCCTGATTCGCCTTAGTCACTCACTTCTTACCTAATTTAAATTTTTTCTATATATGACCAATTTGATCATATATCTAATCTTACTTTTGCAGAGTACGAAGTCATTCTTCTACAGTCAATCCAGGCATGCTGTTTGGGAGCTGAAAAGCTGAGCAAAAGAATGTACAAGAAAGCTGGATCAATATCAAAACGTCCTGCGTGATATTTGCAAACGATTGATTAGGAACAGGGTTTAAAAGGCGAAGCATCGTCTAGTTGTCAACTTCTCATACCGTTGACTCTACAGTTCTGCTCTAACCAAGTGACTCGTAAAAATGATGTTGCTTCTCTTCACAATTCTACACTCAGTAGTGTTCTCCGAAGCAGAAGAGTGCAAAGCTTCTGAGATCGTTGTAAAAACCCCCGACAGTCTTCCTAATGATATAGCAGAGGTGCTCGAAAAACAACTCAAAAATGAACTGGTATGTTTCTCAGAATTGATCATTCTCTTATCAGAATGATTCGACGTTCTACAATAGACTCCCTTTCTTCAGTATGATATGGGTGGTGTAGCTGCTTACTATGTTGGGAACGTAGGCTCATCCGATCAATATACCTCTGTCTGCCTCACCGGAAAGAAGGTAAGCTGTTCAGATTACGAGGGATGTGAACTTGAAGCCCATTTAAGACCGAATTTGCTTTGATAAAATTAGTTCCTTAAATGAATACTAACGAACCCCACCGCCTGACTCAACCTCTTCATTTCAGATCAAAAACCTTCCCTACTGCCTCAAACTGACGGCTGGTAAGGGCAAGTCGATTACGCTGGAAGAATTCAGATCTTCCTATGAAAAGTGTACTGGTAAGCGTGCGCCCTCTTTCGAAGTGGAAGGATTCCATCACTAAGCATATCGTATCAATGTCTGTGAAGAATAAACTATTCTAACGGACAATATTGAAAACAAGTCACTAAAGGCCCGTATGCATAACGCCCAGGGTAGGGAAGGGCAAGGAAGTGTTTGTTTTCGCCGTGAGTCAGATAAGTGACGCTGGAGCGCTGTATTTCGCGCCTCCACTACCGTTTGGCCAATGTTAGATTAGTATCCAAAGTTCGTGTTTTTCGATTGATTGAACCGGAATTTGGAAAGAGTGTGGGTTTTTGCCCCGAAAAAGCTTTTTTAACAAAGTGGGGGAGCTACATCCTACGAAGGCTGACGGAAGTAGCAGATGTTACGATGTTCCACTAAATGCACTTGGAGGGTTGTGGAAACTTTTAACCGAGCATGCTGTTATCGCGCACCCAAGTACAAAGTGACCTTAGTTAGATGCGCAAATTAAATATCACCACGCTGCCCTCAGGTCTCAGGTAATTAAGTGTGTGAAAAAACAAATGAAGGGGACAAAAAGACAGTGAAGCGCTTAGAAAAAAAGCTTCGAATGAATAAAATTTGCACACCAGATAAACAGTTGATATTGTGGTTTCTAGATGTTAGTCATTAAATAACTCTCGGCTTGGAGTTTGGCTATTCTCATCTTTTACAGGGTTTTCAAAGATTTGGGGCTAAAAGCAGCGTCATCAAAGAGGCCGCAAGAACCATATACCAATCCATTCAGGATTACTTACTCGATACGTGCCACATCTTCCACTCTTTAACCTTTACATTTCTGCGCCATCCTAGGCTCGGGATGCTCATACCTCGAGAATCCTGCAAATACGCAACCTTCCTTTATGCACCCCTCCCAGCACCGCAACCCTCGGCTTAATCCCCCTAAAATTTATTCCTCGTCACTAGCACTGACGTACATTTGGTAGATAAACTTTTCTCCAAGCCGCCGCATCGAAGCATTTCAGTCCGTTGCAGCGTCAATTTCAACCTTTACACGTGGTATACACATGA